AAGGTAAAAAGGGAAACCCTCTTTTACTTTTCTTTTTTTTTCTCTCGCGGGGTGATTTGGGATTTCGTAGGGTGCCCGGAAATAGGGAGCAGCTTGTGAGCTAGCCACGTCATGTTGGTCTTAACCTGTCACAGCTTATTGATCAACTTCAATACAATTCGTTTCCTAACCCTGTTCTCGTCATTTTTATGTTTCGTACGCCGCGAACTGTAAGACTTTGTGCAGTGAACAATGTATCGAAAACACACCAGGAGTTCGAACACCACTCTTGCCTGTTAAGCAGGCGTAAATGGTGAGTAGACAATACATCACAATCACCCCGCTTTTTTTCTTTTTTTTTTTTCGTTCACGAAGTAGAAAGCTGTGCATCGAAACCAGCAAGGATCCGGACTGCGGTCATGCCCGTTTATTTTCTGTGACCGCAAATACATCCTGTCATTCGAAAGCAGACGGAAGTGTCTGGATACGGACAAGCATAAAAAAAAAAGAAGGAAAACGGACGGTCGCAGTGTTTTTTACACGCTGGAAGACGGGGGCAACCGAACCGAAAGCGACAACCACCCTACAGAGTTTTACTTCGGCCATTGTGCTGCGGTCGTCCGGGAATCAACGGGGAAGCTGCGCGAAGAAACAGAACCGTTTCCGACCCGAAACACGGTTCAAATGACGCCGATTTCCGGCAGAGACAAAAGCACTCGGAATGGGGAAGCGGGGAAAGGGGGCTACGCGAGCTTTGAACAGACGACCAACATAAATGTAGCGCATAAAAAGGTGAATAAAAGAGTGCTTGCTCCAAGAGAAGTGGAGTGCGCGTGGCCTTGGGGGACACGCGGACATGCGCTCTGGGTTAATGAGGCTTGAATGTCTTCTTCTGGAGAAACAGATTACGTTACGAACCCACTGGCGTTGGATGGGCGACGCAGACTTTACTGGAACGTGTAGTCGGATTGGAAACCGTCGCTTCTGATTCGCGGTTTTTCGCAGTGTGCTTTTATGCTGCCTCAATTCCTTAATTTTAATTTCTCGTTCTTTCTTTTTTTGTACATATATATATATATATATATATATATCTTCACTGGTTGAAGGCCGTTCTGACCGTTTTAGAAAGAAATCAACTACGTTCCTGTTTATTTTATTATTTTGCACTGCTTGTGCAAGTTATATAAGTCCCTTGATTTTAGTGCTAAGGGTGTCAGTAATGATCCTCATTGCATAGACCCTTGCAGAGGTTTTCAAAAGGTACGGTCACCAAAAAGCTTATTATACAGCAGCTGTATTGAAAATGTCAGGGAGCATTTTATTCACGGTATCCGACTAACAGGAGTTAACTTCACCCCCTTTCAACATAATCACCAACCACCTCGAGGGACGTTTGTATTCGATGAATCCAGCGGTCGAAACAACGCTGTAAATCGTCCGGTTTCGGGAGAGAAAGCAGCTCCTCAACGGCGAAAATGAGGTCTTCTCTTTGTCTCAAACACTTCTTCAATGAGGGGTTCCTCCAGTTAAGGGTAGAGCCAAAAGTCACAAAGAGCCAAGTCAGGGGAATAGGCGGGTGGAGTTAGCTGATCAGTTCTGGTATCAGCGATGAAGTTTAACGTTCTGCCAGACGTGTGAGGCGGTGCGTTGTCAGGATGGAGGATGTGACGACGCAGTTCCTTCTTCGGGTGACCTCCGATTAGTTTTAGGAAACTTTCGGCAGGCACAGTTCTGTGTACCGTTCAGAGTTCACAGTTTGCCTCTCCTCAAGGAGGACGGAGGCCACGACAGCCTTGAATCTGAAGAAACTGGCAAACGTTGTCCTTGCCGGCTGATCTGGCGCGGCGAAATTTCTTCAGTGGCGACGCTTCTTTTGCCGACCACACCATGGACTGAGACTTGGTTTCAGGTTCACTCTTGTAAACCAGGTCTCGTCACCGGTCCCAATTTGCTGCCAAGCAGCATACTTGCCTTCCTTGAATCTTTGGAGGTACTGGCGGCAAAAAAATCACACGGGACGCCTAGTGCTCTGAGGTCAGCTGGTGAGGGACCCATCTGGCCGATTTTTCGCTGTAACCAAGTATTTCAGTCGAGACTTTCCAAATTGACATGGCATCTATACCAAGTAGTTCCTTCAACTTCTACGGAGTAACTCGACCATCTTCCTGAACCACCGCCTTTATATCGGACACATTTTCATCGTGGGTTGCCGTTTTGGGGAGCCCTTCAAGGCGGGCGTCCTCCACAGAAAACTCTCCACTTCCAACACGATTGAACTAGCTGCAACCATTGAGAGGGCAGGGGCTTGATCGCCCATAACATTCAGCTTCTCGAAGCGCTCTACAGGCTTCATAAAACACAGGAAGTCGTAAAGAATGAACAACCGCACAAGCTCCTTCGTGAATGCCGTTTTTTGTGGGTTCTTTTTTGTTTTTTCTTTGTACCGCCGCAAGTACTCGAATTTTGATTTCTTGTCTTCATAACTTCCTGTGGTAGAAAAAATAACTTAAGTTAATTTTAAAAAAATTAGGTCAAATATATAGAAAAAAAAATGTCCAAGCCTTTCTAAAAATTTGAAGTGCTCGAGTGACTGTACTTAAAAAAAACAAAAAACACTTATGTGATGCATACACTCTTTTGGCTGTGCAAACTACAAGGAGAGAGGTGGGTCATCTAGTAGATAAAAAGTGATTATTGCGGATGAAAAAAAAAATCGGAAGAAAAAAACAGAATGTAAACCATGACGGCGGAATTGATATCAACGTAGTCCAAGTGTTGTGTAAAAGACTCGTAAAAGAATGTCTGGAAGAAAGAAAGACGTAGAAGCAACTTTAAGACGTACACTCTATTCCACAGTACAAAAATCTCTTAGCTGCAGAAAGCACTTCGTGTGATGTAAACTAAAATGCGCCTCGCTTCCTCGAGTCAGCCGAGGAACTCTCGTTAGAATAAAAAAATAAAAAGTAGCGAATCCTAACCTTTGGGAGCCGTTGTTCTACACCTCTTTTCACTTCTAAGTCCGACCGTAGCCGACGCTATGCGGAGCGCAACTTCGTCTGCTTCTTTGGCACAGGTTGTGGTGACGTCAGAAAGCGAGCTCTGACTGGCTCTGACTGAAGAATAGTGGGTAGACCTCAAGGGAGCTTGCTTTGAGGTCTACCCACTATCCTTTCAATGAGAGCCAATCAAAGCTCGGCGTCTCTCTGACGTCACCGCAACCCTTACAAAAGAAGCAGACGAACTTGCGCTTCGCATACGATTCAATGAAGCCAATCGAGCGGCGCCAAAAGTGCCCCGTCACAGCGCTCGTTATCTTCGTACGCTTGTTATCATCGGATAAACCGATCACGCACTAAGAAGAAAAGCGCAGTGACCACGGATACCTTCACTGTGCGTGATTGTTTTAGCCGGCGAGAGCAAGTCTACAAACACGACGATCATCGTGACAATGCACTTTTAGTACTGCGGTTTTATAGGCTTCATTTAATTATTTAGGGTCGGTTGCGGTCGGACTTGAATTGAAATGAAGTATAACGGACTTCCTCGTGTTTTAGAAGCATATAGGATTCGACTCTAAAAACAATGCTGGCCATGTTTTAGTTAGTAGTACACGCACGCTTTCGTGCTACCGGCAGGCGTCAAAAGAGGAGTCCTTCACACTGCTAAGCGAAACCATTACACTTGATTTTTTTTTTATTCTGCTTGTCGCGGTGGTCGCCACGTTGCTCGAGATAAGTCCGGTGCTTTTAATAAGAAAAGGTAGGGTGGCGTAAGATCCACATGGTCATCCACTTCAATCCGTTGTCGACCAGTTTCGAGATGTTGTCGCTCTATCGTCCTTGACTAATAAGGTCCTACTCGATGCAGTTCTTTACGCGACTGGATATTTATATTCTTTGTGTTAAGAATTGCGTAAGAATGAATTATAACAATATCACAGATCTCGCTTAGCCAGCGGGGAAGGCTTAATTGAATAAGGTAGCTCATAAAACTAATTGAATGTCGTATTAATAAAATAAATAGAAAACATTATTGTAAAATGCTAGAACAATTTCTCGGCGCGAGAGAGAGAGAGAGCGGAGATCAGTGGCGTATGATCGCTTCCAGTGATAATAGCCGAAATAAAATTTACCATTTTTGGTCTCGGCTCTGGTACTCTCATTTAATTATACAACGCAGTCATGTCTGTTTTCGTACTTAATTATGCAGCTGACTAAACTTGGCTTGGAAGATTATATATGCAAATTAATAATGCTACCTTATCCCTTTGAACGTAGCTCGAAGACGCACGAGAGAAAAGAAAAAAAGTTTCTATTTATCTCGAGACGCCAACATTGAGGTGCAACTTAGAAAATTATGCTCAAACATAATGTTTTTTTTATATAAATTAACCGCGTGAGAACGAAGAAGAAATAACATGTCTCGCACATTCTTTCTCGCGTGTTCTTAGCCTTTTGGTATCATGATATTACTCCTCATCATTGCGGCTCCTTTCTCTTAACCTTTCGTGTATTTTTAATTGTTCAACTTTACGGATTCTGGTAGCTCGGGACCGCTTTATACAGCGGTTTTGGAATACATACGGTTGCGTGGCGATCATTTTGTTTTGCGTTTTTATTGTCGTATAATTGCATTTATACTGATGAGCAAAGCGGTAGAATAGAATAGTCCTCTGTGTGAGCGCGAATTTAATTGTGTCTCTCATGTATCATATGAATTCCCAGTTCTCTAGTACGACGATCACGGTATTCATTCCTTTCGTTAAGCTAAGCAATAAGCGGCAGATTTTGGCTGCCCATCAGAACTGGTTTCGCGAAGAAAACCAACATGGCATAGGTCAGCAGTTTCGGACATATTTGTTATTTGATTAAGATCAGTTCAGCCAGCGCTGCAGAAAGTCAGTTGATTTTGCATTGCAAACCGCTGTGTTATATTTCCGGTCACCTGGGAATATGTTAGTGTGCATATATTAGTTTGTTAGAACGGTCACTTACATGCTACCTTTCTTCCCTTTCTGGCAGAACCTGAAAAACCAAATTATGACGACGAATCTCTGGGTTGAGCAAGTAAGTAGAACTTTTTTTTTCACGTCTTTATAATTCTGGGCTCTAATTTCATTGGCATATTTATTATTCGAAAACAATTCATTCTTTTGTACAATACAGTTTTAGATGATTACTGCCATTTCTTTTAACCACTTAAAATTAAAGAAAGTCCTGAAACCGGGTTTTTCAAAGTACTAACGTGCTACTTGTTTTCCCGAAATTCGCCTTCGTCGTTTTCGTCGTTGTTGTTGTTTTATTCCTCATTGGATTATACAAAACAAAAATTGGCTTCTATCCATGGTGGTTTTCTTTATTTATCTTACTGTGATAATTTCGTCGTGCTCTGTGTGTAGTACTGGTACGACTACAAGCTTACCTGGGATCCCAACGAGTACGGGGGTGTGGACATGCTTCACGTGCCGTCCGATCACATCTGGAGGCCCGACATCGTGCTATACAACAAGTAAAGTTTTATCTACTCTTGTTATTTTTACGGTGAAATGAAAAAAAAAAAAGTTCCTCCACAATTGTATTTGTTTCCGCCTGATCAACTGTTCTGGGTGCTTTCAGATATCGAACAACCATGTCCGGTGATCATTTTTAATTTTGATAAAAAAAAAGATATTTTGCTGGCTCCATGCCCAGAAGAATAAAACCAATCCTTGATTTGAAAAAAAAAAATTGTCCTTCCTAAAAACAATTGTAAGCAGCATCTCAGTCACGTGCACGTTTTGTGTATCGCGCGATGTTGGCATTTCAGACGGCTTCCCCAAAAAACCTGTTCTGGCTACGGGTCTAGAAATATTTACGGAAAAATTAGGCATAGGAGGTGTAGCAGCCGAGCTAGTGGTGCTACCAAAACGATAGAAAAAAAAAGAAGAAAAAAAAAAGCCCGTCGGCGCGAGCAGACAGTACGAAACACGACGAGCTTCAAGTTTCGGCGAGCGAGCGGCCCGGCGGCTACATCGAGCGATGTCCACTACAGTTTCCTTTCTTCACGCTCTCAAATGCTATCGACGCCTCCGGGGACCATGACAACGTTGATTTCTCGCTTTTGGAGGTGCACAGCAGTGTCTCCAATGGCTGTAGAAGCTTGGCACAGTGGGGGAGGAAACGCCTGTAAAAGTTTGCAAGCCCCAGAAATCGCTGGAGTGCACGTTTTGTTGTAGGTTGTGGACAACCGGTGATGACTTTGACCTTGTCTGGCAGTGGTCGGATACCTTGACAGTCAGTCTGATGGCCAGGAAAGGTCAGCTCTGGTACACCAAATTGGCATTTGTCCACGTCTATTATAAATTATAATGCCATACTCGTGTAGCCTGTCGAGCAGTGTGGTGAGATGGCGCTTGTGTTCCTCCGGCGTTTCGCTCGCTACGAGGAGGTCGTTGAAGTAGGCAAAACAGAAAGGTAGTCCGCGGATGACCTGATCAATAAATCACTGGAAGGTTTGGGCTGCGTTACGCAGACCAAACGGCATTGTGACGAACTCAAAGAGGCCGGAATGGGTTGTTATGGCCGCCCTGGCGTGTCTGCAAGTTCAACCGGAATCTGATGGTAAGCCTTTATTAGGCCTATCTTCGAATAAATGTTGGTATTCTTCAAAGAGGCAGTGCAGTCTTGAACGTTTCGGATCGGGTACCGCTCAGGAATTGTAGCTGTTTTCAGAGCCCTACAATCACCGCAGAAGGGTTGACAAAAAGTAATAATCACCGAGTATTAGGGTCGCCATTTTCAGAAACAAAATCGCAAATACGGCACATTGCGCAATAACGTTCTGGTTTAAAGATTTGGTTTCTCCGTATCTATAAAAGCTAAGCTCTTCAAGCTTTGCCAGTCTGTTGCCTTGTATATAGGTCATTTTTGCAGGAAATATTGTTGCCCTGGTTAGAGGCAGAAATTTACGAGGATTGCTTACATATACGGGCATTTAACCGAATATGCATTTTTTAATTATTTAAAAAAAAAAACACTTTTTCTTTCACTTTGGTAAAGGAGGAAGAGCAGCGGAGCTTTAGCTTGTGTTTTCGGCGGTGACCTTCCAGGTGAGCGATCTGCTCTTCTTTCGCAAGGGTGTCTGAAGCGCTCGACGCAGTGGAACTTAGGCGATAGCGGCTTCCCGGTGGTTGCACGACCATTCGCGCTGCTGCGCACATCGCCGCTCGTTCCGCTCCCGCTCTTCTTCCTCCGAAGAAAGGCAACCGGCGGCAACCAGTTGTCTGGTTGCCGCCGTCGCTCATAGATGGCGGTAGCTGTCCAGAGTTCGGCGTCATCACTTCTAATCCAGCGGAAACGATCCTGGGGAAACTAGCCGTTAACAGCTCCGCTGTAAAAAGGTTTTCTTTAATATTCTTTCAACTCTCCGAAATTAACGTTTACAATATGTACTAACAGGATCTGAAAAAACATAATGCAGTATTTGTGTGGCTTTGAAGTTATAAAACGGGAAATATGGCCAAATTGACGCTAACGTTGTTGCCATAAATGGTACGTGCCCATGCCCATTCTTCACAATTTCATTATTATTATTTATATTTTTGCATATTATGTTGGTATATATTGTAAACGTTAATTTCGGAGAGTTTGAAGAATATTAAAGATGGCTTCTTTTTGTGATTTTCAAAACAATGATCAAGTTAGTTAAATGCCCCTGTGTGAGCAATTCTTGTAAATTTCTCCCGCTCACCAGGACGCCAATATTTTATGCACAGATGAACTACATACAAAGCGACAGACTGGAAAAGTTTGAATAGCTTAGCTTTTATAGATACGGAAAAAATATCCTTAATCCACAGCGTCATTCTGCCATGTGCCGTATTTGCGATTTTATTTCTCAAAATAACTACCCTAATAGTCGGTGAAAAATACTTTTTTTTTTCAATCCTTCCTATGCCTAATTTGTCAGTAAATATTTCTAGATCCATAGACAGAACAGCTGTCTTGGGGAAGCCGCCCGAAATGCAAACATCGCGCGATACGCAAAACGCGCACGTGACAGAGGGTGCTTACAAGTTTGTTTCCCAAATACATTTTCTTTTCCTAAACAAGAATTGGTTTTATTATTCTGGGTATGGAGCCAGCAAACAAAATTTTTTTTCATGAAATTAAAAATGGTTATTGGATATGGTTGTTCGATCTTATCTGAAAACGCCCTTCTACTTTTCTGTGCTTTGAAGCTACAGTAGGCTTTTAACGAAGCGTCTTACAACTTTTCTTTTTAGGAAGGGTGTCTGGCTGTGTATGGTTGTGTGTATAGCCTATGTAATTGCTCTAAAAGTAGTGAATTATGCTTTCTTAAAAATTGCTCGAGACTGTTCGCGCGAACATATCATAGGCACTTTTTCGGGTTTTACTTTAAAGAGTATTGACGGGCGTCAAATTATACGGTTTAGCTTACTCCCTTAAACGAACACTTTAAAACAGCCTTGTACTTTTTATGGTAGTCTTTTGATTCTAAGATGCAAACATAGAAAAACAGAGATGGCTTGTTCGTGCTCCGAGTGTCGCGTTGTACACATTCCGTAAAGAGACCTTAATCGATTTCAAAAGCTCGCAAGCTTCTTTGTCCCTGAGGTAGTGCTTAAACATTTCAAACATATTTTGGCTGAAAAATTTACAAGGCCCATGTATATATAAATGTCTTACAAAGTCCCAACGCTTAGTGTTTGTGTGCATTGGGCGGCACAGTTAGCACGATGTAATTAGAAAATAACTTATTATTTTCCTTAGAAATTAACGACTTTAATAAATACAACTATTACGGTGGAATCTGTACCTTTGGGGTATTAACTTAAGCGGCAAATGCTGAGGGTTTGCCGCTATGTTGTAGGAGTAGAACGCAAAAAACAAACCCGCTGAAGTCGTTTGCGTCAGCTGTGTCACGCAGTGTACATCATCGTGATGCTATCGTGAAGAAAAAATACGCGGTGTATGTTCAGTGTTACATATAATACAAAAGACGACAAAAATTGCGCCTCTCCTAATTGAGATATTAATAGCATAATATTACATCTATAGACGGCTGTACTAATGTGTCACTTTGTGACATCTTAAGTACGTGTTCATTTTATTAACACTATTTTACAGATGCAACGCCGGCACGTAAAATCAATTAGGCGATCACGTTACAAAACAAACCGCAGTGTTCGTTAAAAGAACGAAAAAAGGAAAGCCTTACGCTTTAGTTCATATGCGAAATTACGTGGTGTTGAAATACCAGAGAAAAGATAGACGAGCTGGTGAACTTTTATCATTACAAAAACCTGAGATAACTAAAACAAACGAAAATTTTTTCTTTATCAGATTTTTGTGAGAGTAACCGTGGTATTGCCTTTCATTACTTGTTACAGTCACTTAATCCTTATGGAAGAGGTATGCGAAAATGCATAAGGACACATGTAGGGTTGTGTATATACGTCCGTTTTCTGTCCTGGGCATTTTAAACAGAGTACATGAAAGTCCTTTTTGGAAATAAAATTGAAAAACAAACTGGTGAGTTTGAAACTGGTCACTTCATAAATATTTAGACTCTCGCATTTTTAGCTGTTGCCCACTAGCGTCTCTACCACACTATAACATTTGCAGTTTTTATAATATTGCATACAAATTTCAAAACGAACTACAATAAAAAAAAACATGGAGCCTAAATATGATTTTTTGCTCATCTTTATATGCAACTGGCACAATTTCTGTTGCGTGACAACGCGCCACGAATCTCATATTTCGCTGAAGATCAAGAAACATTCTATCCAAAAACATTTTACGTCAGCATGGTTTGGCAACAATAAGCTCAGAGATCCAGCCCCTCGCCGTCCCCACCCCCCTCTTTTTTTAAAAATATGTTAGAAAGCAAAGTTCTACTCTCGCGTTCCCATGAACATAAAAAGAACTGCTACTCTAACGTAGGAGAAGAAGAGCCGCTGTGAAAATGTCTCTGGCGTCAACAAACAACCTGAAAGCCGTCGACTTTAGTGTGACGCTACGAGCGCACTTTGTAAACGAAACAACCTTGAGGGGAAACGTTGATTGTGATGTTATCACCCCACAACATCCGCAGCAGCAGTGAAACAGTTTATTGCAGCTGTGTTTGTTCGAGATCATTTATTCTGGTGTGGTTGCGCTCTGGGATTTTTCATGTGGTTGCGCTGTGGATTTTCATGTGGTTGCGCTCTGGTATTTTTCAAAGGCTGTTACTAATCAAATTTGAAAAATATTGATTCTTGATCGATTTACAATAAACTCTTTTTTAATCTCTACTCCAGCGCCGACGGCAACTTTGAGGTAACACTATCGACCAAGGCTCAGCTCAATTACACGGGCCGCATCCAGTGGAAGCCCCCGGCAATATACAAGAGTTCATGCGAGATTGACGTCGAATACTTTCCCTTCGACGAGCAGACATGCCTGATGAAGTTCGGCTCTTGGACGTATGACGGCTTCAAGGTAGGTCTTTAAATCGTTGTGAGAAACTGCAATTCGACAGGACCTTGGTTAAGCTGTCCTTTTATTGTAGTGATGCATTAAAAAATACAAAAAAAACACAAAAAACTACCAATTCACGTTTTGAAAACTCAAGCCAACCATAACAAAAATTACAAAATATAATAAAACTTCTCTGTCATCCATGCAGCTCTCTATTATTTCTTTCTGTGCTCCTTATAAACGCATGAGTAGCTAGTCTCGAGGCGCGTTTTATCTCTGTGCATGCAATTACCTGGGCTATGTTTTGCCATATGGTACTGTAGTGGAGATGTCCGGTACATAAAACTATTTATTATACTTGACTACACAAGGTACAGCAATACATGAGCGCGTTGGCCCCGGTGCGGGCGTGTCTCTCCGATTCCGAAAGTGTAACTCGAAACTGTTTACTCAAACGCCCGCGCCCTCCGGCGGCATACCTCAGCAGGCTCTAGTTGCCAGACGCCGGAGGCGAAACCGAAACTAGACGTGCGATGTCCACACTACTCCCCCTTCCAGAAATGTTGAAAAATTAAAATAATACATGCACAAATCGTTACGGCACAAATCGTACGGGTTGACGAACCCTTCGTCCACCACGCGTCGTCGGAGAGTCTGCAGAATTTCTCGCCGGCGCACTAGTTGGAGTGGTTATTGAATGCTCGAGGTGAGCCGGCTTTAGTCGATCCACCGAAACCACTTCTGATCGTCCACGCACTTCGATTGTGTAGTGTTTCGTGCCACGACGAATGACTTTAAACGGGCCGTCGTACGGCGGCTGGAGGGGTTTTCTCACAGCATCGCGGCGCAGGAATATATGGGTACAAGTGTCAAGTTCCTTAAACAGGTACACGGTAGGACTCTGTTGAGCACGGGTTGGTGTCGGACGGAGGCTGTCCATGATTGTCCGTAAGCGTGACACGTACTGGAGGGGATCTGGAAGCTGCTCGTCTACGTTGGCTGCAACGAATTGGCCGGGGAGCCGCAGGGTAGTGCCGTAGAGCAACTCAGCGCTGGTGCACTGTAGGTCACTCTTGAGTGTTGTGCGCATGCCCAGGAGGACGAGTGGCAGCACTTCGGTCCAGCGTGAGGGCTCGCCGTATGCGGTGATTGATGCCTTCAGGTGCCGGTGCATCCGCTCGACCAGGCCGTTAGCTGCGGGGTGATAGGCGGTGGTGCGAATCCGATGTGTTCCCAAGAGCGTTAGGAACTCTCTGAAGAGGGCAGATTCGAACTGGCGACCACGGTCGGTTGTGACCTTAGAAGGTGTACCGAAGCGCGCAATCCACGTCTGCAGAAATGCCTTAGCGACGGTTTCCGCGGACATGTCTCGCAGGGGGATAGCCTCCGGCCAGCGGGTGAAGCGATCCACACAAGTGAGTATGTAGGAACAGTCTTGTGAGGGCGGCAGAGGTCCCACAATGTCAATGTGAACCTCGCTGAACCGGGCATCGGGCGGCAGGAATGGAGAGAGCGGAGAAACAGTGTGACGCTGCACTTTAGAGCGTTGACACTGGGTGCATGTGCGAGCCCAATCTCGAATGTCCGTGTTCATGCCCGGCCACACATATCGGGCTTTCACCAATGCTTGTGTGGCACGGATTCCGGGATGGGAGAGGTTATGCAGAGAGTCGAACACTGAGCGTCGAAAGGACTTCGGCACGAACGGGCGTGCGGTGCCAGTGGAAATGTCGCATGTGAGGAGCTGAGTGCATGTCGGTAGGGGCACGTCTTGAAAAATTAGCGTGGCTGAAGAAGCACGTAGATCTCTGAGCTCTTCATCTTCTTTCTGAAGCGTTGCCATGTTGTCAAAATCAATGGGAGTAGCGGACGTAAGGCTGCCCACGTTGGCGCGTGAGAGAGTGTCAGCTGCGGTGTTTTCAGTTCCCTTTACATGGCGGATGTCGGTGCAGAACTCCGATATGAACGCCAGATGTCGAACTTCTCTTGGGGAGAGCCCATCCGTTTTGGTGGTGAAGGCGTGGATCAGGGGTTTGTGATCTGTCATGATGTGAAATGACCGTCCCTCTAAGAAGTGGCGGAAGTACTTGACTGCCATGTAGACTGCCAGCAGCTCGCGTCCGTAGGTGCTGTAGCGAGTTTCCGCAGGTGACAGAGACTTGGAGAAAAATGCCAGAGGCTGCCAAGTCTCACCAACAAGCTGCTGTAACACCGCGCCAACGCCGCCATCAGATGCGTCCACCATGAGGCGTGTAGCTGCATCTGGTTGAGGGTGGACGAGGAGCGCAGCTGCCGCCAGGTCTTCCTTGATCTGCACGAACGAGGCCTGGGCCTGGTCCGTCCACTCCAACGGAGCGGTGTTCGGTCCCGGGGATGACAGGAGATTGTTCAGAGGCTGCAGTGTGCGTGCGCAACCTGGGAGGAATCTTCGGTGGAAGTTAATCAATCCCAGAAATTGCCGAAGTTTTCGTTTGTTAAGTGGCTGAGGGTAATCCCTAATTGCTTGCACCTTATCGCCGAGCGGGCGAAGACCGTCGGAGTTGATGCGATGTCCCAGAAAATTAATTTCACTAGCACCAAACTGACATTTGTCTGGGTTGATGAGTACACCATATTCTTCGAGGCGAGCGAAGAGTTGTCGCAGATGTTTTGCATGTTCTTCGGCAGAAGTGCTGGCGACGAGAATATCATCGACATACGCGTAGCAGAAATCCAGGCCCCGTGTTATCTCGTCGATAAACCTCTGGAAAGTCTGCGACGCGTTCCGAAGTCCGAAGGGCATCCGGGTGTACTCAAACAACCCAAACGGCGTAGTGATGGCCGTTTTTGCGATGTCAGCTTCTTCCACTGGTATTTGGTGGTAGGCTTTGACAAGGTCCACCTTAGAGAACACCGTTGCTCCGTGAAGAGTGGCTACGAAGTCGTGCAGGTGGGGCACAGGGTAGCGGTCTGGTTGGGTCACTTGGTTGAGGGAACGGTAGTCACCGCAAGGACGCCAATCTCCAGGAGTGGACTTGGGGACCATATGCAGGGGGGACGACCATGGGCTGGAGGACGGTCGCACAATTCCGAGTTCAAGCATGTGCTCGAACTCTCGCCGAGCCACGTTCAGTCGCTCAGGTGGTAGTCGGCGAGGGCGTGCATGAACGGGTGGTCCCGACGTGATGATGTGGTGCGTGATGTTGTGCTTTATGGGGCGAGTTGTGGTCACTGGAGACGTCAGGGAAGAAAACTCACGCAGCAAATCCTCGAAGTCTGACCTGACTTGCGGTCGAAGTAGTGTTGAAGTCACCGCCCCCGTGGCCTCCGCGATGCCGTGCACGGACAGGAGCGTTGTGGCATCTCGTAGCCGCGTGTTGCGCATGTCAACGAGGAGACCGAAGTGGCGGAGGAAATCAGCTCCGAGGATGGCGTGACTGACGTCGGCAACCAAGAAAACCCAGCGAAAAGTTCGGCGTAGACCGATGTCCATCGTCTGAGAGCGCTGGCCGTACGTTGCAATTTTTGTAGCATTCACAGCTTGCAAGTTGTAGCTTGGGCGCCTCAGACGATCGACACGGGAAGCTGGGATTGCACTGACCTCTGCACCTGTGTCCACCAGAAAGCGGGTCTTGGATACTTTGTCCACAACATAAAATAGGCGTGGTTGAGAAGGCACTCCTGATATGTGAGACAATTTTCCAGGTTGAATTTGCGTTTGGGATGGCACGAAATGTTCACTCTTCAAATTAATTTTGTTATTATGAGAACTGTTCATTGAAGGCTCCCCCCGCTGCTCATTTTGGCTAGTTGGGCGGATGGAAGATGGAGAAAAGCGGCGCGCCGGGAGGCCAGGGGCACCGGCCGCTTTCAGTGCGTGGCCCGGGTGTTTCCCTGTTGAGCGCAGGGCAGGACGCACTTGGTGGCGTTGTCGCCAAAGCGGTGGTGGTACCAGCAAACTCCAGTACTCTCAGGCGCGCGCGACGACCCACGAGGGCGAGAAAAGGAGCGAGGGCGTCTCGGCCGTTGTTTTTCCAGGGTTGCAAGTGACTGCGCGATGCGCTGGACCTCGTCGCGCAGGGCTCGGAATTCCGTGAAGGAAACCAGGTTCTTTACTTCGTTTGAGGCTGGAAGCGTTTGAACCGAGCTGTCGATGGCAGAGATGCTGGGTGACGCAACTTCCACTACCCTATCCGCCAGGGCAGCGAGATCGTCAAGCGTCATGTCTCCGGCACCCGCCAACACCATGCACACATTAGCTGGTAGGCGCTGCAAAAACAACTGCCGAAGAAGCGAGTCGTCGACCGTCGAAGCTTTCTCCCCGAGCAGCTGGCGCATCCCGCGGAGTAACTGGGACGGTTTTCGGTCCCCCAGGTTCTCCGCAGTCAGGAGCTGTTGCAGGCGCTTCTGCTCGGAGAGGGTGGTGCGGCGGACGAGCTCGAGTTTCAGCCGGTCGAATGGCTGGTCGGCCGGGGGAGAGAGTATGATGTCGCGCACCTCCGCCGCTTCCGTTGGGTTGAGGGCGGCGATTACGTGGTGAAATTTCGTTTGTTGGGAGGTTATACGTCTCGTCGCAAATTGGGCTTCAACTTGCGCGAACCAGAGGGCTGGGTCCGCCGGCCAGAAGCACGGAAGTTTGAGAGCGACGGTGGAGACGGTGGGGGAAAGCGGTGCCTGGGCGGCCGTGTCAGCCGCGGAACCGTTGGTGGAAGTCATGTTTGCTCACCGGTGGTTGCTTGGGGTCGTGTGACCGAGGTGTGCTGTCCGGAACTCCGGGTCACCAATTATGTAGTGGAGATGTCCGGTACATAAAACTATTTATTATACTTGACTACACAAGGTACAGCAATACATGAGCGCGTTGGCCCCGGTGCGGGCGTGTCTCTCCGATTCCGAAAGTGTAACTCGAAACTGTTTACTCAAACGCCCGCGCCCTCCGGCGGCATACCTCAGCAGGCTCTAGTTGCCAGACGCCGGAGGCGAAACCGAAACTAGACGTGCGATGTCCACAGTACATTGCAGACATTTGTTTTGTATAGTTTAAACTCTCGAAGGGGGGAATCAGTGTTTAAAAACGAGGTCAAAAGATATTTAGTCAAACATAAAATGTAATCATACAATTTCAAACATGACTAGTGAATTCAAGGCCGTTTTCGCATCATTTATCGCAGCGTCAACTTGCCACTTGATAGAGTAAAAGCAACGCGGCACCACTTTGAATCGCCTGTTTGTGCCCTTGGCCATGGAACCGGGCAGATAATTAAGAATGAGAAATAATATAGCTTTAATTTTCAACTAATTATTGCATCTTTGGAAACTCTAATGTAACATCTAAGCAGGGTTTTAACAGTTGCTCCAGAAATTTACTTAAGATAAAGTTGCATGTTACTCGACCAAGTTGGACGTAAAAAGAAATCTAAATACTTCAGAATTACCCAGAAACAGGTACGATGATTTTATACATACTTTCCTTTAATCTAAAATAATTACACTCAATAAAAATATAACAATCGTTGCGCTGCTGATATTCAGGCAACATTTTAACTGGGAAGAATTGCAAGAAACAGTAACAGATTATGCCCAGTTTGCAAATAATTCATACCTACGATACCATTCTTAGTTTACTCTTCAACGAATACAATAAGCCAATCTTTTGTATGGTTGTATTGTTATCATATGTATGTTTATTCATTATTCATAAATTAACAAACGTATACCATGCACAGTAAAATCTTAATTCCTTCGCAAAACTTTAACCCATTGGAAATATTGTCAGTCACCTCTGCGAATGGCGGTAAAAGAGAGTTCAAGAGACGATCCTAGTTAATTGTCTTGGTTGGCAGTACGGGCTTCTTTAGTGGGTCTGCTTACCTTATCCTGAGATGCTCATAAAAAAGGTGCGTCGCTCCAGACGTTTCAGCAAGCCGTAAACTGTCAGTTTCTGTCTTGCTTAGGAAGCATCGACATAGATATTATCTGAACCGCTGAGTCATTATGTTTTCTGACCCTTGAGAGTCCTGGTGTGCAAGCACGAGCCCTTCCTCGTTCTGCTGGAGAAATCAGAATTGTGCCTGTAGAAAAATACCTTGTCGTAGTTACAAGCTACAAGAAATGGCGCCCCAGATGAAATAACAAATACCAATAATTAAAAGCATTTTTTTTTACTTTTCTTATTGAATTTGATTCGAGGCCCATAATCCGCCGAGCGGGACGCGTCATAGGCATCGAACCAAAGTCAACCGGAGATCCAAGAAGCGGCGTGTCGTCGCCAGAGGACGACTTAGCTCATCCTTTGTTTCTCGAGTCTAAGAGGGAACTACCTGAAACCTGCTCGCGCGCAGGCGGGCACAAGCTGCCTCGCGCCGATTGGTTTCCCGAAGGAGGAGAACAAGACCTCTTCAAATAAGATGGAAATGAGGAAATAGCCAGGGAAAGTGCACAAAGAGTTCACAACTGCCGGAGTCCTTGCATGCTACGACTCAAAAAGGCCAAGTGTGCACAATCGCCTTCACACTGATGTTATGGAACAAAATTATTTCCACAAATGCACAAAGAACGCTCGTTCCTCTTGTGTTTTAGGCCGTGTTCTACGAGGCATAGTGTATAAACATAACTTACCTGAGCAATGGTAGAATTGGACGCCGTGTGTAAATTCTGTAATAGTAATTAATTTAAGACAATTGTCATTATTATTACTTTATATCAATCGGGAGAACCGCAACGCCTCAGAAAGTTAACTGGTTTACCTTGAGGTCTGTGGTGCTGCGTCAAATTAATAATGATTCAAACATATAAAAAAAATTTTAGCCCCCCAAAAAATCTTATTTTTGGCAATTCGGTCTTTCAGGTTTCAAAGGATGAACGAAGGTAGCAGCAAGGCTGTCACGTTGACTTTTGTTTTGGTTTAGCTTGCAGTCTTCACAAGTAGCCTCATTCCAAATACTAGTGTAACAATTAAGGGTTCTTGCTAATCACAGCCGAACTCATACTTGGTTTTATTGCCCAACAAAATGTTGACGCGCATCTAAAAACAAAACTTGGTTCAATTTGTTTGAGTATCGTACATGCCCGGGGTTACACATAGTTGAAAGGCCACAGAAAAAGGCTCTGTTCATCAGTGAACTCACAATATATTTTATTAGTTTGAGAGGTCATACAATTTAAAAAGCAACAATAAAGCTTAGGCATTTTGTGCAGATCTTTTAACACTTAAGGTCTTCATTTTCTCGTGTATCTGGTAAGGAATTGTTGAAAATATAATCGTTTTGCTAAGCCCTTAGGAACTTTGGAAAACAGCAAATGAATTTTCAATATAAACTTGGGAGCGTGTTGGTTATCGGACAAAGACTCTAGAAAGAATAGCACATTAAAAGAAAGGGACGGCGGGCACTTCTTTAATGAAAGAACGAGTGCCCGCCGTCCCTTTGTTTTATGTGCGTTATTCTTCCTGTCGTCTTTGAATTTTCAATTCAATATTTTCAAGTAAAACACAACAGTTAAAAAGTTGGCAAAACTGTAATGTTTCGTATACTCGATACATCAGTTTAAACACATTTGAAGGGAAGGTGAAAATGTCTGGCTTGCAGCATATTTTGAACGTTTGGTTCGGTAACGCATAACATAAGTCTAGTCATAGAAGGATTTTACTTCGTAGGGAACCCCTTGATATGGTCGCGAGGATTTTCAAGGTGTGTCGAGATTGACGCTGATCCATCCCTGCAGGTGGACTTGCGTCACGTCGACGAGGTTCCCAATCAAAGCCTGGTGGAGATCGGCATCGACCTGACCGAGTTCTACCTGAGCGTCGAGTGGGACATCCTGGAGGTTCCAGCGGTGCGTCACGAGAAATATTACACGTGTTGCGAGCAGCCATACATCGACATCACCTTCAACATCAGCATGCGACGCAAAACGCTTTTTTACACGGTGAATCTGATTATTCCCTGCATGGGCATCTCCTTCCTCACGGTACTCGTCTTTTACCTGCCGTCGGACAGCGGTGAAAAAGTGGCCCTGAGCATCTCAATCCTGCTCTCGCTCACCGTCTTTTTTCTGCTCTTGGCCGAGATCATTCCTCCGGCGTCGCTCGTCGTTCCACTTCTGGGCAAGTACCTGCTCTTCACCATGGTCCTGGTGACGCTTTCCATCTGCGTCACCGTGGTCGTGCTCAACGTCCACTTCCGGTCGTCGGCCACGCATCGCATGGCGCCTTGGGTCAAGCGTGTCTTCCTCAGGGCGCTCCCCAAGATTCTGAGGATGCGTCGGCCGGTGCAGGACCCTCCAGTTAAGGTGCTGGTCCGCACTTGCAACGGCACCGAGTTGAGAGACGCGAGCTCGTCCCAGGGCTCTCCTCGGGGCAGCTTTGAGGCTGCATTCGAAGAACTGCAGCAGCACGAGCCCGCGTGCAAGCTGCACGGCACCCTTAGGCCGCCCCGGCAGTCAACTCGCGTCGCCGCGGACGCGGACCCGGAAGACGCAGCACCGTCCCCGGGAAATCTGCCGGGGAGGCCTTCCCCTCCCCCTCCTGCGCCCGGCATGAGACTACACTTCTGCCCGGACCTTCAACGGGCCTTGGAGTCCGTGCACTTCATCGCAGACCATACGCGACGCTACGAAGAACACATTGAGGTGAGTCGCCGCAGTGGGTTACGTTTCCTGCATGTTCTCCGCTCTGTAAACGGTCGACACCATAAACTTTCCCTTAACTTGGATTTGAGAGAGTGGTGCATGCCAGGACGCAGCATAACTGAAAGTGGAAGCCAAATCAAATACTCAAAGGCTTTGAGTGCCAGCTACTCACTATACAGATGCAAAATCACAAACGCGTCGTATCTGTCTATGGACAGTACAGGCTGGACCGTTTTTCGACGACACTGTGTGTACAAATAACTGTGAAGCATACCGGTGTCACGCCAATGCATCATCAAAGAAATCGATTGCTGTCAGGCGTTTCGTGCAAATAGCGACATTTGATGTTTGCATTAGCAGAGACACTCCCTGTTTATGAGGAGCTACGTACAGTCTGCATGATACGTGCATTACGCGTTATCAATTCGAATGTTTTACCAAGCAAACCAAGTCACAGCCCTGCAATAGTTCTTGGGCGGACCTGCACTAGAAACGTTTTTTTTTTAGATTTATGACTCTCTAATTACTGTTTACGCACCTAATACGTAGCTGTTATTTGAATGGGGAACTTGCGGCAGTTCAGCAGATGCATGTGATTCGTATTAGCGATCCACATAGAGAGGCGTTTGATCTTATTTTTATTACATTAACTTGACCTACAAAATGTAATGCTTTAAAAAAAATTCTAACTTAACGCACTTCCGACGGGGTGCAAGGTACAGGAAGAAGCGAGAAGGAAAATATTAGTAGAACGAGGCGAAAGTGCTCGGCTCTCGCCAAAAGCGCGTCAGCCAAATGCGTGAACATATCTTAAAGAGGCCCTAAAAAACTTTCTGCGATCGTCTATTTATGATCATAACTCAATCAATGGCCTCTAAGCATCATAAAAAAGCACAACATTACATTCGTGTGTGGCCGATTTCTCTATTAAAATTGGTATCAAAAGTTTGATTTTCTCGGCACTATTGCGGGCACCAAGGGCTCATCGGACGAGGAAAGGAATTAATGGTAGGTTTCCTCATCTCATGGCACCCTAATGTGTACAAAAATAACTAAGCGTGAATTTCGGGTTTTCAAGGTATGAACGTCATAAGTCATAACGAAGCAGTGAAAACCCGGCTTTCACAAGAGCCGCACATCTGTACAGAACGATGCATCATGCATTCTTGGCGCTCAAAAAATGAACAGAATCTATGGGCACAAGTGAGCTGCTGTATACCGAACATTTTGAAGTAATCCGATAGTGAGAGATACGTATGGAAAGGCAAAGGTAAAACCAATACTTACTTTTGATAGTTGTCATTCGAAGCATATTTCATTTCATTTATTATACTCTCAGGGCCCGAAGGCATTACAGAGAGGAGTGGAATTATATACAGCAATATAAGGTGAACAATAAAAAAAAACGTAAAAAAAAACGCAAGGTACAGAATCGCTATGGAACGTTGTTAAGAACATCAGTTATGGCGGTTTTAAAATCAGCAGCGTCAGTAAGTGAGACTACGGATGCGGGAAGGCGGTTCCAGTCGACGGAGGTCAGAGGTAGGAAGGAGGCATAAAAGGTAGAGGTGATGCAGTAGGGGATTCCTACTTCTAGTGGATGATCGGTGCGCGGCGATATGTATGATGGTTCTAAAGATAATGAGGCTCAAAGTGCTGGGTTAGAGTGATAAATTTTGTGAAATAAGCAGAGGCGAGCTATTTTTCTACGAAAGGAGAGGTTGGGCAAATGTAGAGACGCTTTCATAGAGGTGACGCTGGCTGTACGGTGATAGTTAGAAAGTATAAAACGTGCGGAGCGATTTTGAATGGATTCAATGGATGATGCTAGGGATACGCCAGGGTTCCAGATAGAGCTTGCATACTCAAGTTTGCTGCGCACTAAAGTTTTATATAGGAGAAGTTTAAGTGAAACAGGGGGCAAGGGAAAAGTTTCTTCTGAGATAGCCTATACATGGTTGAAAAAACCCCGAGACTGCGGGTAAACGAAACAACACTAAAAAGAGACTTTTTAGTGTTGTGTCGTTTACCCGCAGTCTCGGGGTTTTTTCAACCATGTGCAATGTACACCAGCTCGTTTGCGCCCTTAATTTTTGTTCATAGCCTAATAAGCGATTAGCGTTGTTAGTGATATATTCGACATGGATGTTCCAGGAGAGATCGTCAGTTGTATGAACACCGAGATATTTATAGGTTCACACAGAAAGCAAGGTGGAGTAGGAGGGACAAGTGTTATTTTGACGGGACACTCTCATAGATTTACATTTGAAGGTGTTAAGTTCCATAAGCCAATTATCGCACCAGCGGGTGACGTTGTTAATATCGGTCTGAAGAGCAGATATGTCAGAGTCGTTAATGATTTCCTTATAAATTACACAGTCATCAGCGAATAGGCTAATAGAAGAGGATACATGCGTGGGAAGATCGTTAATATATATAAGAAATAGAAGTCGACCTAATACGGAACCTTGTAGGACACCGGACTTGACAGGTAAGGTTGAAGAATTAGTTCCGTTAGCGTGAACAAATTGGTAACGGTCTGATAGAAACGATTCTATCCAAGCGATTATATTAAGATCTATGTTAAGTTTAGGAGTTTATGAAGAAGCAACGCGTGAGGAACCTTGTCGAAAGCTTTTGAGAAATCAAGAAATATGCAGTCAGTCCTGGAACCCCGGTCAAGTGTTACGTGAAGGTCATGAGTAAAGGTTAGGAGTTGAGTTTCATATGAATAAAACCTTCGAAATCCATGTTGCGCTGAGTTAAAAAAGGAGTTTAAGTCTAGAAAATTGAAAATGTTAGTGTAACTGATGTGCTCAAGGATTTTACGAGGAATACTCGTTAAATAAACGGGACGAAAGTTTAAAGGGTTATGCTTATCGCCACCTTTGTGGAGAGGGATCACCTTCCCCACCTTCCAATCTTTTGGCAATTCTCCTTGTTCGAGTGATTGCGAAAATAATTTAGATAAGATAACGCATGAGTACGTATTAGTGTTTTTCAGAAACTTAGCATTAATATTATCAATGCCTGCGGTCGTATTGGTTTTAAGGTAAAAGCAAATTTAGTTCGAAATGTGATAAATAACGCGGTCCTAAAGTTTGTTCCCATTCGATTATGACGACGACTCAGGTTATTTTTTCGCGGTTTAAGGCTGCAAGATATTCTCAAGACTTCCTGCCAAAACAGCTTTCGTACATTGTTTCATCAAGCAAGAAATTTCAGAAAAATCCCGAACAGAAAAAGTTCGTAGTCATGCCGTTTTTTCACAAGAAAACTCACTCCTTGAAATATTTCGGTGATAAGTTTGGTTTACGTATGTGTTCAGCACAGCTATTAGCTTTTAAGATTTGACTTTTTTCGCTTCCTCTCAAAGATGTTGCATGAAGAAATACAAGGAGAATTCTATCACATGTGTTTCCGGTGTAGTCTACAAGATCCCTTTTGAATGTGGGTTATGTTACATAGACCAAATGAAACGTTGTATTAATGATAGGCTGGGCGAACATAAATGATTTGTAAGGAACAAAGACCAGTATTCGGAAGTTTCTAAGTGCATTAAGGAGTCGAATAATTGCGTGCCGTTATGCAACTCAACAACCACAATATTAACAGAAATAAACGTCCGTAAGCGCCTGTTGAAGGAATCAGTCGCGATTACCAAACATGAAAACGCTGTAAATAAGCTGTCATCGTCTTTAGGAGCAGTATGAAAGCGTTTCCTGAATCAGTAGTTTTAGTAGTGCGTGTGATGTTTTTTTTGTGTGTGTTTGTTTTTACGTGGGTATTTTAGGAGTTTGTGAGGTCACCATATGATGTCTTTTCATTCAAGGTTATAGGTCTGCCCCGTTTGGCCTTTTTCACCCAGTGTTGTCTTTCTTAGTCCTCCAAGGTTACCCTATTGTGGAGGGTAAGAAGTCGTTTCATTTCTTTGTTTCAAACCAAAGTGGTGTGAGTGGGGAAGAGACTTTCCGCTCGTTTCATTTTGGTTAACCCTTACATAAAGGGTTCTGTCCTCAATAAAATTTTTGCTGTGTTTGAGATGCCCTCAAATTTCCTCTCTAGGTGTCACCTTTCGTATTGCTTAGTCTCGGGTTGCTTCCTTCAAAATGTTCAAGAAATAAACACGTCCGTTACGTAGAATTCAGCCACCCACCTTCAAGAAGTTTTCCGGACGCCATTACAAAATATAAATAGGAGTAGCTTTTTACAAATTCGGTCTTAAGGGCGATTCACACACTTGCGTCGAGTACGACTGAGTGCAACTGCAACGGCTTGAGACGCACGGGTTGCTAAGGCAACGGCTGCGTCGCCTCCAACAAAACCGGTTTTTAGTTTTTTACCCTGTCACAAGCCGTTGCAGTTCCTCTCGGTGGTACTCGACGCAAGTGTGTGAATCGCCCTTTAGTCGAATACCAAACGCCACATGATGAACCTGTTCGAAGAAGGTATGAAACCCAGATAAAATTAAGGCGTAGACGCCGTGTAACTGACACTTCGGTTTTAAGACAAACCCCCTTATGGTAGTCAAAATTAATTATTACTATTTTAGACGCTGTTCTCCACACACCCTTTAGTGGCCTGAGGCGTACGCGCCAACATTTCACTTAATATCCCTAAGGTTTCGTATCTTTAAAAACCAGAAGTTGTGAGTTCTTTATTCCTTTTCACTTGATAGTTAACCTACCACAGGCCTGTCTGTGATTCGTAATTTCGGAGAGTATTTTGAATGTTTGTTTTGCTGCTAGAATTCTAGATATGGCTACGCAGATAAGTAAGCTGTTTTTTAACCGATTTGTTGCATGCTTGGTTTGTTCGTTGTCTTGTCAGACCAGACACTGACCTTCTTTTGCTCAATTCGCTTAGGGAATCTAACGGAGTGTGAATAGGATTGTTTGTGCACATCCTCTTCCTTAAAAAAATGAGCCATAATGTTTTAACCACCAGAAAGCGTGCCCGCGCATTAGCACGACTGCAATTAGTTAAATTGGCTCGGGGCAAGATAATTTTAATGTTCCACATGTGCCAACTCATTTTCAAAAGGCCACTCTTTTCACTTACCCAGTCAATATATGCTATCTCCAGTAACGAGAATGTAGAACTGCGTTAACAATTTCAGGGACAGGTATACCTTTATGTTGTGATGAATAACCTGAACGAGAATTGAACTCGATCGTTCCTTTATATTTCAAAATATCTAAGCCAGCGATAACGTTTCCTGGTGATATATTTTTATCTGTATTATCGGGAGATTTCACGTGACGTACTTCCGGCGCGAAGTCTGGCCGGAAACCCTGTTGTCGAAATTTCGCCTTATACAATTTTTATGCGCGAAGACAGCGTTTTTCAACTCGCTCGGGTTCTTTCGCGTTGTGTGCGACTAGGCCTGCCGGAGTAGTCGGCGACATAAAGGAGCATCGGCTGGTACTCGATATTTCCACGTATCGACCTTTGTTCAGAGTAAAAGGAAACTGGCTGCCGTGAAAGACCTAAAAAAGCGGAAAAAAACAAGGATTTCTGCAGCTCAAATGCGTTGTTGATCGTATTTTTGGAGTTGTATCGGCAACTCCCTCGCAGTGATGCTGCATTTAACGATCACCAAGAGCGACGCTAACAAATAATCATTTATAGGCAAACGAATAGGGTAAATGGTGGAAAGTATTCAACAGCGTGTTTGGAAACTACGTACCGGGAGCGAAATGACGTTTTCTGAAATCACCCTATAAGAATATTGCGTATTTAAAAGCGCAAATATTAAGCAGCGATTTTGATAAGAGCTCTATTTGTCATCATCTTTATAGCCTAGATCAGTGGTTCTCAAATGGGGGTCCGAGAAGGCATTCTAGGGGTTCGCGAAGCCCAGCCTCATCAGTCAAGTTCGGCAATAAAAGTTGTCTTTTCTCAGATTGAGAAGAAACGTTCCAATTTTCAGGTGAGCTTTCTTGTGTATACGTCTATAATAGAAGTCTACTTCACACTAGCCCTTAATTATATCCATTTATTAAATCACTTTCATAATGAAGCTATACCTTTCCCTTCCCCTCACCACGAACGAGGTCCTCCGTCATCTCCGCCGATCCACAAGGGGTCCGCGAAACATCATTGGCTGAGAACCACTGGCCTAAATAACTATGTTGCGTGATTCCCTAATCAACCGCTCCACAAATTCCTGCACATGCACAAGACGTGGCAGGGGAAACTTCACGACGTTTCTCACATTAGAATATTGTCTTAACAAAATCTGGTAATCTGAAACTATCTCTAAAAGTCAAAGTGCTGGTGAGAAGATGCAAACGTTTCAGCACATACATTTTACCGGAACTATAATATTAAAGATATTTCAGATATTCGCAATGGAGAAAACGCCGCTGTTCATGTCATCTTGGGAGGCAGTCGGAAATTTACAAACTGTATTCTTCGCTTCACGAGACGTAACCGTTCAATTGCGCTTTTGACAAATGGCTTCAAACTTCTTTTAGTCATAACATAATATCAACTCGAACTTTCGAGTCTTACCGAAATCGCGAGTGTTACTATAATGAAGGTTTAATCTCACTGCGATTAGACATTTATTTCTGGCGGTGCGGAAGCGGCAGTCATTTTGCAGTCACATACAGCAGGTCTGTAAGCTTAGAGCGTCCAACTTACTACGGCACAACATTATTCACAGCGCCTTGAAGTTTCTGGACCGTCCCAAGTAGCACAAAGTGGGGCCTGTAAGGGGGGCGGAAGAAGAATGGGGATAGGAAGGAAGAGAAGGGGAAAAGAGTCCCAGGTCGGTTTTGCATGTTGGGTCCAAGTGAACCGGGGATGCCTCAAGGCCTACTTGGGTAGCCCACATGGGCCCCCCTCGTGGGCCCCACAGTGGGCGTACGAGACGCCCCCCCCCCCCCCCCCCCCCCCCTCCCCCGCCCCGAGGTCCTCCCGGGAACCTGATCGCGTTAGGGTTTGTATCATAATTTCCCTAGAGTGTGGTATTACAGTGCATCCCAATTCAAGCATGCTTCATCTTGCTCGTGTGCTTACTAAAAATAAATAATGTTTTATACATTTTGATACATCAATAAAACATCTTGAGCAAGACCATCGAAAATTGGGCATTTCAAGTGTACGAAATAGAACGGAAACTGCACACTTGCATAAAAAATCAGGTAGGACAGGTGATTGGTATCCATAGCCAGCTTGAGCCCGCTACAGACACCGAGTTTCAAAAGAAGATACCGGCATTATGATAAATTGACCCTCATAAAAAAATTCACCTCCGTAAAACGGCCTTCTACTTAGACGCTGAGTAGTAAGTTAGTAATGAAGTTTTGCAAATTTAAATTTTATCTCTCACGCTTTAAAAATATTGTCCTCCGTGATATGTTATAAAATAAAGCCGATCTTTGATGTTAACATTTCAGAACGTGCACTAAATGGTCTAATTATCAGCGGAAAGGGTCATTTTCGCAGTGCACAGGCAGTCCAAGTTGGGCATGCCCACGCTTCGCCCCTTCCGAGCCTGCATCTATGCTAACCCATGCTATCTATGTATAGCCGCGGTGGGACCCACGGGGGCATCACATCAGCACCCCAAGTTGGGCAAACCCACGCGGTGTCCCCGTGGAGCCCAAGTCTCCCCCGTATAGCCAAGGTGGAACTCAAGGAGACATTGCACAAGCAGCCCAAGTTGGGTATGCCCACGCGGAGCGCACCACTCTGCTAACTTTCCCCCCGCATAGCCGAAGTAGGAACCACGGGGGCACTGCACCGGCAGCCCATTCACACAGAAAGAAAGGGTATATTCTTACACCCCTTGTTCCATATAAGACACCCCAAAACTTCGGATCGACGTACAGCGCACTGACGTTGAACTGACGGTACCAACTTTCACGAGTGGCTTGATAGCTAATGTTCGTGTGACGGATTGCAAAAAAAAGTAACTGGGGTATTTTTTTTTAATGTAGTCTTTGATATCTACTTTAGCTGTTTAATATGTTATATCGCACAGTCATCAAGCCTCTCGCAAAACTTGGGGCCGTCAGTTCGACGCCAGGACGATGTACGTCAAACTGAAGTTTCGGAGTGTATTATATGCGACAAGGGGTGTAATGGCTGTACCATCATTTTTTTTTTTTTAGAGTGGAGTTGGGCATGCCTACGCGTAGCCGAAGTAGGACCCAAGGGGTCACTTCGTCGGCAGCTGAAGTGGGCGTGCCCTCGATTTGCCCGCAATTAGGTTAACTTTGCCCTCGAATAACCGAGGACCCACGTGTGTATTACACGGACAGCCCGAATTGGACTTGCCCTACCTTACCGACGTTGGACCCACGGCGGTACTGCAGGGGCTGCCCCAGCCCACTTTACCCACGTGGGGCCCACGTGGGCCCACCTGGGCAATGTGCACGAGCCCCGATTCATTTATTCCGCTGAAAGGCAGAATTGATTTCGCCATCGGTGGCGCTGATTACACAAAATGCAGACGTTGCTAACTCAGTTATGCTTCAAACAATTATTTCCCTAATTATGAGCGCAAATAGGAGCTGGAACTAAACTCCGTTTGGCGCTAAACGGAGAGGACAATGGAAGCTACGCGCCCATTGGACCAATTATAGGTCGATCTTTCGCCACCTCATCGCGATCCTGCTCAAAACCACGCGCAAAGAGAGGAGTCAGGGAGGGAAATGGACTTGTGCGGGAAGCGCGTAGCTCCTACCGCCCTGTCAGTTAAGGGGGTAACGATGTATGGCATCCCTTAACGTGACTGACTGACAGCCATTAAAGGGACAATGTAAACTTTAGACACTGACAGCTTAAGAAAGGCTTAGCGTGGCGAACAACGTACATCTCGTTATAGTTCCTCAGCCATTAAGATTGCGGCGTTAGTCGACAAGAATGCAGAAGAACGAATCACGAAGCATGAACAAGTAGGCCACGCCCCGTCTTTCTTAATAAACGGCGAGCGTGTACAAACGAATACACTTTCATAATAGCTTAGTATACCTCAAATTGCCGCAATATTTAAGGAGGGATATCCAGTTTAGATTATCACGTTAAATATAAACCTAAATAAAGTTTGCAAAGTTAGCGACCCGACAATCGACGCTTCTGCTTCGCCTAGCGCCAATAGTTGCTGAACAAACCAATCGTCGAACTCTTCGAAGGTCAGTGACCGTAAGCACCCACATCTCTTCCACCCCGCACAGGTGAGGGAGGACTGGAAGTACGTGGCGATGGTGCTCGACCGCCTCTTTCTGTGGATCTTCACGGCGGCCGTGATCGTGGGCACGTGCGCCATCATCCTGCACGCACCGACCCTGTACGACACCCGGGAGCCCATCGACGTTCGACTCTCCGAAGTGCTCACAGTGCTCTACAAGGGCAACGCGGGCCTCTGACTCGTCGTCACGAAAGTATGGTGGCGGCGAGATACCTGGAGCTCGTCTCCGACTGGTGCGTTCACAGCGTCCTTAAGAGTGGTTCCTCTATCTCCGCCCGGTGACGTCATAAAAATGTGACTATGAGTTGCCTGTCTCAATCCTGGCGGTGCTACAGCAGTGGAGCTTGATGCGGCGGGCGCTTGTTCCGCTCCAAGTCGATTTGCGGTCATCCATTTCATTAAAGCCCAAGCAGAGTTGGGACGCCGTGATGACAGCGACCCTTGTATCCTGACGCCCTTTTCGCCAACGTTTTGACGTCCAACCGCCAGGATCGCGACATCCGATAGCGTGCCACACCGGCTTCTCTAATGCAACTTGTTGCCACTTCGGAACCACTTTCGATGCATGGGCGGGAGAGGACGGTGAACAGACCAGTTGAAGACGCGCTTCGGGAACCGTATACCCAAAGTGCATCCGGTCGAGGTCCATCGCGTGTGTTTGCACTAACTGCTCTACCTTCTGCGCAACTCTGGACTGGGACTTGTTGTTCATGTTTGTGTATCGATCGCTTTCCCCGTGAACGCCGAGTTGTTGCTCGAACGAAGAGGTGGACGTTAATTTATACGGCATGCTTCCGGTGAAGGTGGACTATCCGAGCTACGTTTAGTATAGCGTTTCTTGGAATGTTATAGGAGGGTGCGTTGAAAGTATAAACATGTTAGCGCCGCATTTCGGGCTGGTTTGGATACAAGGACTGCGCCGTCTCTTGCCTACACCCAGTTAGCTGTGCAATATTTTTTCGGAGTTATAGTAGCACAAAACCTAACCGACGAAATACCGTAGGGAAATGGCACGCTAAGTAATTTGTTGACTTATTTACTGTGGAGTGTTATCGGTGGGCGAGCGGGATCAAATAAAAATAAAGCGGCCTTAAAGGAAAAAAAGAAGGTGTTACAGTGAACGCACTGGTAGCAAAGTTGAATTTGACAACCGTGGCCATTGTCATATGCGAATATTTTGTATAAATATTGTTTTTCTTTTTTATTTTTGTTGTTAATATAAATGCCCTCATCTGATGAGGGCGTAAAGAAACGCCGGCCCTATTTTAATTTCCTTGTTAATCCTTACTTAATTGTACAATATGTTTAGCATCGGTCGATACAAATATACATTCCAGTGCAAACTGACAATGGTATGAATGTAGTTATCAAGAGCTTGTTAAGTTATCACCGGTTACACTTATTCTATTCAGAACCCTCGCAACCGACCAATCCGAGCCACGGAATCATCGTGAAATAAGCAGGTAAGCGTGAGTCCATGAGAGTGGGTCCAAAGAATGTTTGTCCAGATGTTGCATTACCTTGATAAAAAGTACAGCACCCCCCATCACACATCTTAGAAACATTACAATAAGTGTATTGTTCAGTCTCGTCTTGATAACTAAAGAAACTATAGGATGCTGTTTCTCACTTCGTTTTTTTTTAAGAATTATATATCGATAGCGCAATACTTCCCCATGCTTTTGACAAAGACTTAAATTATTTCAATGGATGCCTGACAGGGTAAAATTAGTATGCCTTATAATTTAGCCATTTGTGACTAAATTTCAATCATGTAGCCCGAACGCCCAATTCGAAGGGGCCCTTTACGTACAAGCGCAGTATATGTGCATTAACACTCGCCTGCACGAAGCCTCTCTGCACTGATACCAACAGGGGTGGAATTTGAACGTATGTCTGAATCTGTGGAGCGAGTTTTTTTGCCAAGTTACTTCGCGTGATTGTTATAACTAGCTTTGTCCGTACCCTTCGTAACCCGAAAACCTGCGCGAATGCAATGGTGTGATTGCTGCGAAATGTGCTCCAAACTGCGTCAAAGGACTTACCCTGCTACATCTTAGTACATTTTACCATAGTCTGAGGAATTTGCGCCAACATTGAACTTCAGTTCCCTTTAATAATACTGATAATAAATAGCTCAGGCCTAGCTACCAGGCCGTATCGTTATGATATACTTGTGCGTGTTTTCAGAGCTTTCGATAATCGCCTCAAATAACGAACTATTCGATTTGATTTCGCGTGAAACGATGATTGTACTCGGCCGTTTCGCAATAATTCTCATTTCGTGGTCTGTTCTGGCGGGTTAGCTAGTTTCGTTGAGTGCGCTTCTCACCGGGCACTGGTGTACTGAAGTGAAGCGACAACCGCGGTATGTAGTCATCACGATTGTGCGTTTTATTGCTTCTCTGAGGTGCGCCCACGTGCTAAGCGGAAATCACTTCTACAAAGCGAGACGTGGCACCAATTTCAGAATAAATCTTCGGCCTATTTATATACGATAAATATAGATATCCTGGCGGCATCCTTTTTTTTTTTCATTTAGAGATTTAGCAAGGATACTTCGGTATTGCAGGAAGATTTACTTGGACTCTCCTGTGGGTTTATTTTAACGTGAAACGATTATAGGTTCGGTTTTCAGATTAAGTGAGGCCTGAAGAAGCCCGTTAAATTTAGCGGGAAAACTGATTTTGTGTGTAGTCCACGTGACATCAAGCCATGTGACGTCCTTTTCCCCACTAAATTTAGCGGGTGGAGGGGAGTGGAGAATCCTGGAGACAGAGCTCGAGAAGAAATGTCTGGAGGTTGCCAAGAACGTTTCACGTAGCAACAAAATTGCAGGGCAATTTGTGATACCTGTTTATGTTTTCTTTTCTTAAATTAAAAATTGCAGTTTTATTACAACCTCTAAGAATAGAGAAAACATAAATTTAAGTGCTTAACATTATTATTGTATTCTAACATTATTTCAGTGGGATTTTGTATCCAAAAATACCATTCACGGCAGTTGTGCTGTTCTTCATCGGTCATCATTTTGTTAGCGTGTCCGGGGTTTCTACACGCAACCAAACAGCTATACTCAGTGTCACGAGTTGCGTGCAGCACAGGCCAAGGCAACGCCAGGCGAGGGGAAAAAGGGAAGCACTATGAAGGCTCGGGAGGAGAAAAGAAACATCCTCTCCTCTCTAACGTTCTTAGTGCTCTCCCTTCCTACCCCTTGCATTCCGCTCCCGTCCCGCTTTCCTAGTTCTTGCACGATCTCTCTTCGACCGGCGTTGCCTTCGCCTGCACTGCATACAACTAGTGACACGGAGTATAGTTCTATGCTCGAGGGAATCGCTTTTGCTGCGCAATCGGTGCTAATTCAAGGTTACACATAAGTGAGAGGCAAAGCAGGTATTGCCTTTAGTTGGAAATGCCAAAACAAGAATTTTTACGTAATATTTTGGGTAATATGCATGAAAATGAAGTGTGCGCTTATGCTCCGAAAGCTCTTTTTTCTGTTCCAAAGTTTTTTTGTTTCTTTTTTCTGCTGCTCTTAAATGACTCGGACTGATCAGATCGCTGCGAATGGCATTTAATGATTCCACGCGCCAACCAATAGGCGGTAATCACTGGACGCCGTATTTGAGGTAACTGCTCACAGCACGTGTTCGGGAGGAGTTTCCCGTCAGCTCTCGAGCAATCGCGAGAGAAGAAGGGAAGGAGAAACTCTCTTTTCACCGGGACTTTCTTTTGTATGTCCCAGGCTTCCCCAGACGTCGCTATTCTCCCTCTAGAAGATTAACGTTCACTCAAAATTCGTACAAAAGCAGCTTTACCCTCTCTCTCTTCCCCGGTGGTTCGAAAGCAGCGGCGAGCTCAGCTATGACCGCCAGTAAATCCAACCTAATGCTTCTGGCAAACAACTCGAACAGCCTTTCAGTTGCGCAGCCTTATGAAAGGTTCTAGCGCTGCATGATTCGCTCTCAAAAATGTAATTAAAATTAACAAATTTGTTTTTGATATGACTTCCTAACATTTGGAGCGTTGTTTTAAGTGTAGTCACAGGCCGCGAGACGCGAGTATTGAGAAATATTCATTATTCCAATTTTGGCTCAGGCTTCTGAACCTATAAGTTTTACAGACTAAGTTGAACATCCTGTAAGGCATGCTTGGCTGTCATCGACTACAGGTCACTTGTTCATCGTTAAAGCAACCGACGCTGACACAAACTAACGGAGGCTATTTCAAATATATGAGATACTTATTTTTATTTTTAAACACATAAAAATTTAAGAAACTGCTTCTCGTCTAGTGCCATAATAGGTAACGTGGGTACCTTTGAGTCAAGCTATATATTTCTACGATACGCAATTTATTTGTTCGCTGCATAATCAAAAGGCACGCTACGCTGCTGCAAAGAGCTGCATTGTTAAAATTACTTTCAAAGTCTCTCAGCAAAAATCAAACCAGTTAAAACAAATGTTCAAATTGTTTTTTAATTGCTTAGTTTGAGAAAAGTGCATAAAGTTTGCAGTCTCAATAACTAACGACTTTTTTTCTCCTTTATTTTTGGAAAGGGATTATTATTAGTGTGTTGAACTTGTCACGTCAAATATTCTGAAAGAGAATAAAAATATATTTTTCTCAATCAGTTTATCAAAGGAAGAAGAGTAAGAGGCAGCTTTAATTTTCAAGTTTCTTATTTAGTTTAAAGAGTTTTTTTTTTTTTTTTTATTGACACTAGAGTTCATTTCAAGTACTAGAAACGTTGTCATATTCAAATCAGCTCAACTTTGCAATAATTTTTTATCGTAAAGAAAACACAAACACTCGAATATTCACTGTGGCCGCACAAATATAGACAGAGCGAATAAATGCAATTTAGTATTATGTGTGATCATGGTTTATTTTTGAGTCTCGATTCGTATGATCTCGATCTATATATATGACTCTGACGTTTTTTCTGCCCTGTCGATCCGATGTCCTTAATTTGTACAAAACGATATACCCTAAATCTTCTATGGCGCCACATGCTTACTTGTGATCCATAATAAAAATTTGAGTCAAGCATCAGAGTGGCAGCCGACGTTTTGTCATTCACTTGCAATACTTTGGCTTGCCGCTCTGAGGCATCCGAAAGGATTCTCTCTCGACATCTTTCTAGCCGCTTCCACGCCTTTGTATTCCGGGTATGCA